CCCAAATGTCCTATCTGTCCCATCTATGTCCCATCAGTGTCCCATCAGTGTCCCATCAATGTCCCATGACAACACTGTCTCGAGGTGTGAAAATTTCGGGACGAATACTTAATTACAGTCAAATCTCTCTATACGTCACCTTCTCTAAATGTACATACTATATATTTCTCTCTAATTGCACGATCCAATCAGTCCAAGCAATATAGAGATCATAATAAATACATTCTCTCTTTAATTGCACCTTTTTTTTTAAAAATTTTCGCTAAGGTCCCAAAGCGGTGCATATAGAGAGAAACTGTAATACCGCTTTATTGACATGATGTTATTCAAAATTTTATTAATATTTTATTTAATCGTATTTTAATATAGTTTTACGATTTTCATCGTTCACTTAACGGAGGAAGCATAGCGGATTGTTTTGGGATTCTTCATCATCGAATTACATGATGATAGTGACTTATATTCATATATAGAAGAAAGGCACGGAAATCTTGATTGGAAGGATATTATCACAACTCTTTGGGGACTATCTACTGAAATCATTCGTGTTCAACAAATCGGATCATGTTATGGAAATCTTCACGGAGGTAATGTGCTGGTTGAAAATGGAAATATACGTATAATGGATATTGTAGCATGAATTGATAAATTACTAATTAAATTGTACTTTTATAGATGAATTGTATTTTGACAAACATAATTATTTTATTAATAATTTATAATAAATGTTAAATTGACATAATTAATTTTAACATCATCAAAATTAATTAATATTATAGTATATTTTATTATATATAATTTAAATATATAATTAGTTTATTTATTCAAAGATTGCTTATTTTAAAAAATATGATAATTCATTAACAAAATAATTAAATTTATTTACTATTTCTAACATATTTTTAAATAGAGTAAATTTATTTAATCTCCCTTCTGCGGTGATATCGCATCCTATTTAATTATGTAATATAATATTTGTGTTAATATATTTTATAAAAATATTATTGAATACGTCACGTGATTTTAACGTGTTTCGTATTTTATGTTCCTGCATTTTAAAGTTAAAATTTTGTTAGTGTGATAATCCTTTATCATAGAATAAAATACTTGTATGATGATATAGTGTAAATATTGAAGTGGGCTATTTTTGTGATATGAATTTGCTTCTCTTTAGTCATTCTTTTACTAGCTCAAACCATTTTTTTTACTATGGACATTCTTTTACTTTTTGTCCTCAATTTTATTTTTAATGGACTTTCAAAATGATGTATAATTGATAGTTTTAACTTTATAAAAATTATAAATGAAGAAGCTAATAAAGGTTAGTTTATTTATCTTTGTTATAATACTTGTAAATTCTTTACTAACTCAATTGTATTCTATAGCTTTTGAAGTTTTGTCTAAAGACCTTTTTTTTTCAGGAATGGAAATTTCTAAAGAAATTATACATTCTCTAATACTTATTACTGGTTCAGAATTTGAAGTTTTTGATAATATTACCAAAAATATTAACTCAACCTCAACAATGTCTCTTCTAATAACTTCAATTCTAATGCAAGTTTTTCCAATGGTTCTGCCACTTATTTCTCTAACAGTTCTACTACTTATTTCTCCAACGGTTCTATCACTTATTCCTCTAACAGTTCTGTTATTTATTTTTCTAATAGTTTCGTCACTTATTCCTTCAATAGTTCTATTATCTATTCTTCTAACGATTTTAATGAAAGATAATTCTATATCTTCATTTGCTGTTTCTTTATTACTTTTTGATTTTTTAGCTCAAACTGAAGCTGAGATGTTTATCAACACTAATTCTTCAGCTTAGGCTGGGTCTATTAACACTAATTCTCCAGTTCAGGCTGAGATTTTTATCAATACTGATTTTCATATATCGCTTCAAATTTTAGAATTATCTATTAGGAATCATTTTGCTTCTTAGATAATTGCTAAAGATCATATAAAAGAGTTTAGAAAGCAGAAGGGATTTATAATTAATCAGCATCAAGTTGAATACTATAAAAATCATCATCTAACTTGACTGAACGAAGTGTAAAAAAAAGAACTTACATGTACAAGTATTTTAGAAAGTATAAACCTTGTAAAATAAAAATGATTGAGTATCAACGTAATAAAGGATCAAAAAAAACTAACTATAAATAGCATGTTAATTTAAGCAAATATAAAAATGATGATTTAGTGTATTTAACCTTTATATATCCTGACTATAATCATGAATTACTTGCTGATAATGCAAGATTCGCTACGAAATTTTAAAGGTTTAATGATCCTATAATGGAAGAAATTGAGCATGCAGTTATATATAGTTGTTGTGATGCATATACTATACGAAATTTATTGCAACCATCATTTTCTGATCAACTTTTTCTTACTCAAGATCTAATAAATGCTATTCAGAAAATCAATGCGATAATCAAATTATTAGATCAGACACTTCTCATTTGTTGAAATTTCTTCTTAAGCAGCAAAAAGAAGACCCTACAATATTTTACAACTATTAATCAATGCAAATAGTAATAGACTTTGTGATGTATTTTGAATAACATTAAATCAAATTTTATTATAGTCTTGCTATTCTGATGTTATCTTACATAATAACACTTCAAAAACAAACAGTATAATTATACTTTATTATTATTTATACTTGTTGACAATGATGGTAAATCACGTTTAGAGCACAAGCTTTTTTAAATGATAAAATTTAAGAAAGTTATAAATGGATTTTTTAGCAGACATTAAACGCGACAGGTTTAGAATCTTAGGTTATAATGACTGATATAGATTTTGCAATGAATACCACATGTTAAAAAATATATAAAAATACATACTATATTCATTGCATTTGGCATATGTCTCAAAATCTGACTAAACGTCTTAAACATAAGCTTAGAACTGCAGATTTCAAAACATTTATTAAAGATTTTTAGATGATGCGTAATTCATTATGTTCAAAGGTTTTGAATAATGATTTCAAGCTTTATTAGAAATCTTTCCTAATAGTAATGATTATTTGTGTAATATAATTTATCCAATTTGACATTTGTGAACTCGAGTATTTACAAATCAAATTTTTACAGCTAGCATACAATTAACACAGTATGTTGAATCTATTAATGTAATTGTTTATAAGGCTGTTTCTTCTAGTTTAATTATTTGAAGTTTTGGACTCTCAAATGCAAAAAAAGGTAATTAACAAAAGTTTATGACATGAAAGTACAAGTCGATAATATATTATCAACCATTTGTTGTGGATAATTTTTTTTAATATATTAATGGTTTAATTAAAAAGCATTTTTTCTTACATATTTTTGAAGAAGTTTATAAACAAATGTGTGAATCTGTATTTTATAAATGTGAAAAGGTTTCTTTAGAAGACACATACAAGTTTAATAAAAATCAATTAGTAAGTTGATTCTTTAATACTTAGCTTCTAATTTGATCATCCATTTTTTTGTTAATAATAGTAATTATAGATAGAGATCATAGTTTCAAATAGAATTCTGAAAATAACTCGCATATTTGACTTGCATAATTGTGTATAATTGTAAATTTTAGTTACATATAATAAATAAATACTTTAAATTAAAGGTATGTAGGATATTTTTTGACTTAAAACTCAATTTGACTCGACTCATTAAGAACACTAGTTTCAAATTTTAGGATTGGATAATATTAGTTAAAGTCAAAATATCAGAATTAGTTTACATTATAGATAGTTAGTTTAGAATTGAGAATATTACAATTGGAATTAGGGTTAGAATCTAAAATTATATCAGATTAAAGATTGTTATATTAATTGTTATCTGATTTTGTTATATTTTAGGATTAAGAGGAGAATCTTGAGGCTCAAACAATGAGAAATAATTAGGAAAAGGAAATTAATAACATTAAAGATTATTACGATTATTAGCAAATATATTTAGAAGTATTGTTGAATTCAGTTTCAGGAAAATCAATTAAGGAAATCTGGAAAATTATTCCTTATATGATTTCAAAATCATATCAGCATATTATTATTCTTGAAGATGGTATCCATTTATATACATGTTTATTATTAATTTCGCATGAAATCATTTGCTGGCATTATTTTAAGTTGATGATTGAAAATTTAAATGCAATGTTTCATATATTATTAATGCTAATAAGATAGTTTCAAAATGATGTGTGAAATCAGATTAATTTTATTTCTAAGGAACCATTTATTGGAACATCATCCAAAAATTTAAAACAGTCTTAGGATAATGATATAGCTAGAAAACCTGATTTTGTTTTTATATATTACAATAATATTCAAGAAGTTCAAACTTGACATTATATTCAAAAGAAAATTGATTGATTATGGTCAACTTATAGGATATTTTAAGAAGGCTTTGAATTACTCATTAGAAGATAATGATCAAAAAAATTTATATAATATCATTTTAGATTACATTTCTGAATAACAAGCAAAACGGCAAACTAATATATAATCAAAAATAGGAAATTTTCTTAAAGAACATAGGAATAATGAGATAAAATTATCTGATAGATGTGTTTATAATGTCGATAATGTTAAAGCTCTAATAAAATATAATTGTAAAGGTAGACCTGCTATCAAACGATTAAAAAGTTATAGTGAAGAGAAAAATAAAACAAGTATTAGGATACAAAATGAAAATATATAAGATGATGGTAAAAATTTAGCTGGGCACAAATGTGGTTTATATCATAAAATAGGACATTATGCTCCTAAATGCCCTGATAAAAATAATTAGTTTATTATGTCTTAATAATTGATTATAATAAAGTCACATGACCTCATATAATATCACGTGATCTCATAGGTGCGGTACCACCGCAAGGGGGCGTTACTCTTTTAAATATAATGATTTTTATTTTTTTATTACTCATATATTAATTTTAATATTTTAACTAGTTTAAAATTATTTAATCTAATTTAAATTATTTAATTCTTTTTCAGTATATAAAATATCTTTTTTTATATTAAGTATGATTATTAATTTGCAAAATATTATCATTTTATTTCTTAAAAACTATTCTTTTTAATGTAATATATTCCGAAGCTGTATCACTTTTTTTATACTTATTTGTGATTTCGCCCGAAGCTTTACTTATTGAAAATTCATCTCAAAGCAACTTTTATGATTCCAAGATAAATATGATCGACATTCTTTTTATTAAATTGACATTTTCGACATTTTGTCAATCAATTTGGAATACATCTGTGCTCATTCAGAAAATTCGCTTATTAGCTTAATCAATAAATATATCTTGGTTTAAATCAGTATCTAATAATGTTTTGCATATATGTTTATAAAGATAAATTCAATCTTCACGATATTTTTAAGAAAAACCAATAGATGTATTTTTATTAAATTTTGTAACACAATAATTGCATAAATGATCTTCCGTAGACCAGTTTAATTAATCGTTTATCCTTTCCATCCTTTCTTATAAATAGTCATGGATTTCTCTAATTATCTTTATCACGCGTATATTATGTTCTTTGATATGTGAAAAAAATGGTAACGTAAATTTAAAGCCTATGCACGACTAACTTTGTTTCATTGGTTTAAGACGAGAAAAAGTGAATAAAGAAAATATACAATAAAGCTAATGAAAACTGCCTGAGAATCTGGTTTCCATTCCATTAGTGAATGGTTTATTAAAATCAATCGATTGTGAAAGAAAAATAGATTTAAATTAATTTTTTTTTTTTAATTTTTTTCGATCGTTTTATTATATTTATATTAAAAAATTCAAGGTAAATAGCACGCCCGAACCAAGTTTCAGACACTATTCAATTCGTGGTATGTGAAGAGCTCTTTACACATGTTTCGCTATATGTCGAATAAACCTTTTGTATGTATTTCAGCCCGTGAAAACATAATTAGCATATTAATTGATTTTTGGTTTTTGATTTTTGTCAACATTTTATTGCAAAGGACCTACATATGGGAGGGTTTCTAGGAAAATCAGGTTCCGAGAAATTTTTGACTTAAATTAAGAGCTTAATACATTTTAATCTAATAACATCAAAAACTAAAATGCAATAAAAATTTCAATTTTGTTAAAAAATTCCCGGAACCTGAGTTTCCTAGCAATCGACCCATATGAACGTAAGTAAATAAAAAGTTCTACCGTCTAACAAAATCCAACCAATGAAGACCGAATTGTTTCTTCCGTGATTCTATTTTTTTTTTTTGTTAGTTCCCATATTTCTCATTGACGATTTAACAATAAATTTTTCGTAGAGAACGTCATAATTTGTTAAATGATCTCTGAGACAGATTTATATATATGGAATGAGCACTGAGAACAAATTTAAGTAGTAAAATATTCTGAATCAGATCAAGAAAACTTTTTATGTTTTTTTTCTTTTCTCAGGCTCGCTCCATATATATATATTATATCAAACATCGATAATAAATCGATTTTCTACATAACAAAATTAAAGATTTATAAATAAATAAATATATATATATTTATATAGAAGATTGGTTTATAAAATTTAATTTTTTTTTTTTTCTTAAAAAAAAAAAAAAAAAAAAAAAAAATACATCATAATTTAGCAGAAAGTTCTTATTAACGAAATTTGGTTTTATTAGAAATTGGAAACAGAGATTTTCCATTTTGACAACAAAACTTAAAATTGCTCAGCTGTTACGAAAAAGAAACGTACAGGCGCGTACAGAGATGACGTGATCATCTCAAAAACATCGGAAATGTGACAAAACCATGTTTTCTATGCGTTACGAGTTTTGACACATTTCCGGATGTTCTTTGAGATGATCCCACATCATTGGACGATTTCTGTTCGTCCTTTTTTTTGTAGGGCAAGTTGACGATGAAGGTTGATACAGCGGACATTCTGTGTTCCAGAAATTAAGCTGAATATCAAAAGAATTTGTTAAAATTTAAATTTAAAGAATCAATCATTAAAAATGATCTTGTAGTATAAAGAAGAAAAGAGACTTTTATTAACTTTAAAATTATTTTTATTAAAAGTTATACACACCAGGCATTATCAAACCCGTAATATATATATATTATAAGGATTTATATGTCGTTCAATAGTGGCGTATCGTGACAATCATTTCCATTTTCCATTTTCCCCGGGATAAGTATGTTAAAATTTGGAACATATGTCGTAATAATTAATGCAGTTGGCTGAAGAAAACATTTGCCTGATCCAGTTAAATTCTTATCGAAAAGTACATATGATTTTGATCTACAATTTTCGAAACGACCAACACATGGTATGTCAAAGATGCTTGTTATTTAGAAATTAATTTCGCACAGCAAATAATGCATATCATAATTTATGATGTATTAACCAAATAAGTTGTTTTTAATTTATTGAAGTAATTGGTTCGTTCTTAATATTGATAAGAATCAATGTTAAAAGGCTCATTTGGTATAAAATCAGCGAGATTTTTCCTTTTTTTCGCGAACGGCACCTATCCTCTTTGATTTTCTTTTGGACATATTTAGTCATATGAAATATCCAAAGTCATTAACGTATAAAATTAATATTATACTAAAAAGATCATTCAAGGCCCGAAAAATTTCCAGAATCCGACGGCAGACCGTGACAAAGCAAAATTGAAAGTCTACGAATTACGACACATATCCAACTTTTTTAATAAAGCATAAATGGAAGCTAAAGAAAACTGCTCAGACTGTGGAAAACGAGTCAGTGTAGGATGGTGCAAAGAGTGTGAAATTGGCGCTTTTAAAGAAAATTTCACAATCTGGGCAAGTGGAAATATTGATATTGATAATTTCATTAAGCATACTCAGTTAAATGCAACTGGATGTTTGGATTATTTGGAATTTATTGATTTTGAACAATTTGGTCTTATAGAAAAGACAAATAAAGGCGGAGCCTTTAGTGAAATTTATTCAGCAATATGGATGGAAGGTCCTCGATGGACTTGGAATGATGTCGCTGAACAATATATACGTAACGGACCTATAAAAGTTGCTCTTAAGAGATATAACGATTCACAAAATATAAATGAAAATTTTTTAGCCCAAGTAAGAATCATTTAATTACCAGGCACACGTGATGATTTCCTTTATAGAGTTTTTCATATGTCACCCAGTGTCACACCTACTTTTCGTTTTGGTATGAAAATCCTATTTGTCACATTATTTGTCACATGATTACTTTCGGCCAAGTAATATAATGCCGACCAAAAAAATCACGTGAATGAAAAACTTGGTGCCATCTTCCCCAATATCGCCAGAAAAATTTTCACCCCACGTGATCATAGAAATATTTGCCACATCGCCTTCGCGTTTTCCATTTGAACTTCGAATTTTTTCGGGGTGCGAAATCATATTTGTCACCTTCACTTTGTTAATTTCTTAATGCCGTAATGCCGGCCAAAGGTCACGTGGGATGAAAATATAAAAATTCATTTTTTTATTTAAAAAATCGAATTTTTTGTCTGGTAGATCTTGTGCCATACCGAACACGTGATTTGAATTACTGTATATATGAATTTTTTTAACCGGAGGGGCGTGACACAGCTGACGATTTGTGTATTGTCTCGAGGTGTGAAAATTTTGGGGCGAATACTTAATTACAGTCAAATCTCACTATACGTCACCCTCTCTAAATGTACATACTATATTTCGATACAATCAGTCCAAGCAATATAGAGATCAAAATAAATACATTCCCTCTTTAATAGCACGTTTTTTTCAAATTTTCGCTAAGGTCCCAAAGGGGTGCAATACCGCTTTATTGACATGATGTTATTCAACATTTTATTAATATTTTATTTAATCGTATTTTAATATAGTTTTACGATTTTCATCGTTCACTTAACGGAGGAAGCATAGCGGATTGTTTTGGAATAACAAAGGATCCTTCATCATCGAATTACATGTTTGTTATGAAATATTATGATGATAGTGACTTATATTCATATATAGAAGAAAGTCACGGAAATCTTGATTGGAAGGATATTATCACAACTCTTTGGGGACTATCTACAGAAATCATTCGTGTTCAACAAATCGGATCATGTTATGGAAATCTTCACGGAGGCAACGTACTGGTTGAAGATGGAAATATACGTATCACCGATATTGAATTATTTTTTCAAGTTGGTAAAAGGAACGAATTATATAAATTTCTTCCATATATGGCCCCTGAAATTCTAAACGGGGAATCATTAACAGATTCTACGGACATTTATAGTTTTGGAATCATCATGTGGATACTTTCTGCAGGCATAGTACCATGGTGTAATGCTCCATATGACATTAGACTATTGGGAAGAATTCGTCTTGGTCATCGTCCTAAAATTATTAATGGAACTCCCAAAATTTACACGGAATTAATGAAACGATGTTGGGATTCAAATCCTTTGAAACGTCCAACCGCATTCGAATTACATGATATATTAGAAAGATGGGTAACTGCTATTGACGATTCTAATATATCAGAATTTAATAATATTGATGAGAAAGAAACCTTGGATTCGGAAAGAAACAAACTTCATCGACAAGGATTTTACCATAAAGATATTTTTACAAGTAGGCTTGTTGATTTCTCCCAATTAATTAACTGATTAGATTTAAAAAAAAAATTAGAAAATATACTTTTTTTTAGAAACTATAGATTATAAACATTTAAAATTATAAATTATATAGAAAAATACAAATTTACATTTCGAAGATATAAATTGAATATAGATTGGCAAAAATTAAAATCAGTATTTCAAAGATATAGGTTGGCAAAGATACAAATTGGCAAAAAATATAAATCGGTAGTCGAAGATACGGGTTGGCAAAGATACAAATTGGCAAAAAAATATAATCGGTAGTCGAAGATATAGGTGGGCAAAAAATATAAAATGGCAAAGGTATATATGAATTATGATATATGATTAATCTTACTTTTTATGAGTAATTTATGGTTTAAGATAATAATAAGATCGATTAAATATTTAATAATTTAATATTGAGTAAACATTTGAGATTTGCTATTAAATTCATGTTCGGATCATGTCTTGTAACTTGATTTTAATAGCAAACCTCCCATTTATTTAATAAAGAATTTAATAAAAAAAAAAAAAAAAAAAATTAATTTTTTGTCTGTGATCACGTGAAATACGAGATTTCTTTTTGAAATATACAAGTTTATTCGTTTTTATACAAATTTTTTACAAATAAATACAAATATTGATTTTTATAAATTTAATAGGTTTAAATTAAACTTTTTACTGTTCTTACTGTCTCTATTTGATTTTTCCCAAATCCAAACGTTCTTATTAGATGCCTTATAACCTTTCGTTTTATATATTATCCCAAATTGTAATTGAACTTTTTTTAGTAATTCTTCAACTTTTTCAAAAGGAACAAGGTCACCAAACTGTTTCTTGGGCGGTAATAAAGTAATATCTACCGATGATGAAATGGTTGAATGAACATCACTATCATCACTATTAGAAGAAGAGGGCAATGATCTCTTAAGATCATCTTGAACATTTTTTCCTAAAATCTTTAGAGAATTTTTCCAATAATAATAATCATTGTTTAAACAATCAATTAGATCTTTAAAACTTTCATCATAAAGTTCGTTGACAAATTTCATTTCAAGATAAGTTTTTTCGTATAGCTTCACTTTGTTTATGTAACCTTTACTAGTTCGTTCTTCTAATAAATTCAATAATAATGACCAAATGTTGTATTCTTGTTCCGACCAATTATCCGTTTTAGTTGGAAATAGGATATCTTCTAAAAGTATTGAATGGGGTACCAAGTCAATGTACTTTGTGTAAAGTAGTATGGTTAGAAATTTTGCGAAAAGAGCAGAACGTTGCTTGCGTGATTTTGTCCAATTTGAAGAAAATTTTCCTCCCATTTTATGATGTGAAGTGTGATAAAAACGTTTTTTATATTATATTGTGTGTGTGTATATGAGATATTTTTGTTTTCGAACTTTTTTATATTTCGTGTACAGGTTTATCTTTTATTTTATTTTTTGAAATGTATGCGAGTTTTTGTTTTTGAAGCAAGTGCTTTTTTTGTATGTTGAATGTTTTGACGTTAATACCGGTACTAACGAGATTTTAATATGCTAGAAAATTCTAATTTGTCAAATTTTGTTTTAAATTTACAATTCATGCAGAAACCACGACTATATATATACAAAAAATTCTACAATACAAATTTGCTTTTGTTATTTAAAGCAAAATCCCCCCTTTTTTTTCATGGATCGACAATGACGCTAATACAAGTTACACACACATTTACATTGTAATTGAAAAAGGAATTGCGCTACCATATCGATTTCCCATTATCGCAAATTTAGCAAGTATTGTTACTATACTTAAATTGGACACAGTCTTTGTGACCGAAATAAAATTTCAAGACAATATTAAGGACTTTCCTGTGTTTCTTACTTTTAGTATTATTCATTTTTTTCTTGTGCTACATCAACTTTTTTTGGGGATCATAATAATTACTTTTTTTTAAATCTCACAGACTATATTGTAAGTAAATCGTTGTTTTGGGTCTGATTATTTTTACCCGAATAAAATAAAATTTTTTTCGATTTTGGTTTTTTCAGAAATGATTGGATGTCGTGTATAAAAAAAAAATTATTCGGTGCTTCACGTAATTAACATATATGATGCAATGCTTACATAAACTCGAAACGCAATGATTTGATACATTGTTACTCTTTAACGATTGTAAATGGCGACGAAAGTCAAAAAAAAAAAAAAAGAAAAGAAAAAAAATTTAACGTATAATCAAGCACCCCTTCATCACAGACTACGACCTAATTATCAGGTGTAAAAATGCACATTAACGTATTTTAAAAGATGGAATCAATATCAATCTCTGAATTTATACGTGAGTATATTTTTATGTATTTTGTCTAATGGGTCAAACATATGCTTTATTTTATGTAACATGTCGCGATACAAATTTTATTGAAATAAATTATTTACAGCAACAAAATTTGGATAAAAGGGGGTTAACCTTTTAGGTTTATTTACTTTCTATTCTTGCATACATTCAAAAAAAGTAAAAAAGGTGGATTATCAGCCGTGGGTAAATTTGGCCAGTCAATCATATTAAATTATTTTATTCTGTTTGACTCAGCCAACAAAATTGCATTCGGATGGAATTAAAGTTAAGGTTTGCCAAAAAAAATTTTGGTTCAGGTTTCATTACTCCAAAATTTTTTTGACAGATGCATTACGTGATTTGTAGCCTATTTGTAAAAAAATTTTTCTAATTTTATTTTAAATTAATTAAATAATAAATATTTACGAACAATTAATATCATTGAGTTTCATATTTTTTTTTTTTTTTTGCATTCAAATAATCAAACACAAAAAGCAAACAAAAATATCCATTTAATTTTCTTCCTAAAAGTTTGAAGTTTTTTTTTTTTTACATTTCTTCTAACATTTTCATCCTTTATTAGAAATCAGTGGACCTTCCGGGGAATACCATTCGGGTGCCTGAATACTTTTGCACTAGGGACAATAAAATTCTAGGATTGTTGGGATGACAACAACTCATAAAGTCTCGTAACGTAAAGATTCTTCACGCACAAAGACTTTTACCGTACTCGTTGACGTACTCGTAAAACACTTCTGGTTTCGATTTTATTTTTTGAAAACAATGAAGATACTACATAATAATGGATGTCTCCCGTACTTTTCATAAATAAAACCAAGCAAAAAACTAAAAATATTATTCCGTAAACTACATTGAGGAGATCCAATCCCAAATACCATAATATACTGTATAGTATCGACTACACTATTGCTTTCTTTTCCTATTGAAAATTGATCTTAATGTTGACGTTGACACTATCGACAAAATATTTATTGTTTTAAATAATGTTTTGATATATATATAAAAATAAAAAAATTTTTTTCCCGCTTTATAATTTAAAATCTACATAGCTTAAACGCACTATATTATATATACTGTATACTGTACATATCAAATTTAAATAAATAAATAAAATACTGATTATTCATATAATTTTAAATAATTGTCATCGTCTTTGGAACCTTTAAGAAGAGCTAATTCTTCTTCTAGTCTTCTAATTTTAGCATTTTCCCAAACACTATTACTAACCTTATCCCACCAACTAATATTTAATAATTCAGTCATACCTTCTTGCATCAGATTTCTAACCACCGAACCTTCTTTTTGTACTTTACCTAATAATCTTTCTACTTCATCTACTCTGTCAACAGCGTGATCCAATTCTCTCGTTTTATTTTCCAGTTCCATTTTTAATCCTACCACTTCCTTTTCTAATTTAAAAATATCATTTCTAGATTGTTTCCATAATTTTTCGGCTTCTTCAGCTCTTTCATTGGCTATCAATACTGCATTACTAACTTGTTCAAATACTTGATGATGATGATTTAAATTCGAGTGTAAATTATTTATTTTTACTCTATCATTGGATTTTTCTTTCCTAAATAATTCTATTTCATTATTGACCTTTTCTAATTGCTTATTTGATTTTTCTAATTGTGATTCGGATGTGGCAGCTTTTAACCTTAAGGCGGCTAATTTGGCTAAAACTCTCTCTCTTGCTTTTTCGGCACTTTCGGCTCTTGATATATCAATTTGTATTTGATCATTAACCGATTTTTTTGTGGATTTTTCTAAATTTGATGATTGACAAAATTCAAGATATTGATCTTCTAACATTTTATTTTCCGTTAATGTCTTAATCAATTGCTTTTCCAACTCTTTTGTTTGACCAAGTTCAACGTTAGAAAATTTGGATTCAGACAATTTGACCAAAGTATCTAATTTCGTCCTAAAATACGTTGCCTCATGCACCGCTGCCGATCTTGCTCGTTCTGATGATGAAAGTTTTTGTGATACGACCTGTGCCTGATTTGATATCTTTGCTTTTGCCTTCAATAACCTTTGTTGAATTTGGATGATCGATTCCATAACTCTCCTTTGTTCTGCATTGTATACCTCATCATCATCTCCATTAATTAACATTTTTTCGACTTCTTCCGTTGCACCACCATCCTCTTTGTTCCCATCATCATACAGATCAGGTGTAAATCCTGATTTACGTGCCGAATCCAGTTCAGCTTTAAACCATGATTCTCGTTGTTTAAATTCTTTTATATTTGACTGATGTTGTTCAAATTCCTGCTTTAAATTTTCATCATCCATTTTAAGATGAGGTATATCTGAGACATCTTCGGTGACATCTAATTTAGATGTTTGAATAATAAAACTATCATTCGTATTCGACGATGTTGTCATTATATCATCGTTTTCATATACTGAACCGTCACTTTCACTTTCATGCCGTGATTTTTCATTCCCACTATCATTATTAGGTTTAACATCCGAGATAGAAGAATTTGATGATTTCGGCTGTGATGACGACCGTACTCGAGTACTTTCATCATCATTATAAACAGAATTCCCACTTCGCGATGAAGCAACTGATGAATTATCCGGAGTATTTATACCATTACTAGGTGAATGTGTCAATGATTCTTGTAATTTTATCAAACTATCCCGATTTAATTGATCGGAATCTGTTCTCATGTGTAATGGAGAACTATTATTTGGTCTACTGGCACCCATGGGTCTAGCACCACGTGGACGAGTTTCTTTTCCATTCCGACGACTTGATAATGAATGATTGCTTTGGTTTGACGATGATGATGTCAAAGAATCTGATGAACTTCGCTTATCAGGTTTATAAATCGTAGTAGTTGAACTATTATTTCTCTTACTTGGTATGTTTTTAACTTTCTCAGTCTTATTTTCACTAACGTCCATTGTCGTATTTCTTGTAGCTTCACTAGTAACTAGTTCTTTTTGTTCAGAAATTACTGACAATACTGGCAAAGCCGACGCTCTCGACGTTGGTATGATATTGGGTGTATTATTAATCGAGGCGATGGTGGTTGAAGGAAATCCTATTATCGGCAAATCCATTTTACTATCATGAGAGGTTTGCCTTGAAGGCATCTCGGTTGTTTGTGTGGTTTTTTGACTTTCAACAGATATTGTCGAAGGATGTTCTCCAAAATGTGAACCTATTATTTGATTATCAACCGAAATCTTCAATGAATTAACTTCCGTTGCCTGTATGGTTGTTCTTTGATTACCAACCAAAGTTGTCCATGTTGTTTCAGTGGGAGATTCTACAATTGGTGTGATTTTTCTTTCATTATCAACTAAAGTTGTAGTCGAGGAAGTTTCCACTACTGGAGTTTGAGAAAGAGGTTCCGTTATTGGCGTAATTATTCTTTCATTATCAATAAATGTTGTGTTTGGGTTCGAGGGAGACTCCGTAATTGACTTCTGATTATCAACTATAGTTGTGTTCGAGGGAGATTCCGTTATTGGTGTAATTGTCTTTTCCTTATCAACTAAAGTTGAATTCGAGGGAGATTCCATTATAGGAGTGACTGTACTTTCTTTATCGACTAAAATTTTATTCGAGGGTGATTCCATTATTGGAGTAATTGTTCGTTGATTATCAATCAAGGTAGTTTTTTGATTATTAACAGTTATTTTCGAAGGAGATTTGATTGTTGATGTAATCAATTTTGTATCATCAGCAAAAGTTGCCCTCGAGGGAGACTCAATAATTGTTGTAATTGTCCTTTGATTATCGCAAGAAGTTCGTCCCGAAGGAAATCCTGTTATTTGTTTAGTTGTTTTATAATTATCTGCAGAAGCTCTTCTGATAGGAAACTGTCCATGTGAAGGTCCTAATGATAATTCATGTGGTGTAGGCCTATTATCAACTGAGATTCTCCTGGGTGCTAAAGCCCTTGGTGTTGATGAGATTGATAATTCTTGTGAATTTGTTCGTCGATGTGAAATTCTTCGTTGATTATCGAGAAAAATTCGCCTATTAGGATTTTCATTTGTGGTCATTATTGAATCTTCCGGAATTGAATTTTGAACCTCAAAAAAATCTCGTTTAATTGACATATCCTGTATAGGGTTTGCCCAAGCACTAATGTTAATTTTTGACTTTATAGGTAATGGTAACGAAGATTTATTATTACATCCTGTCAAATTATTATTATTGAGATCTCCTTTATCTATTTTATCTATGAAGTTCTTACGAATTATTTCCCTTGATGACAGATATTCTTGTTGCTGTTGTAATTGAGCTACATTTATTGTTTGCAATTCATATGAACTAATTTCAGAATCAGTAGGCGAATATTCTTGTTGAAAAAATTGAACATTTTCAAGTGCCTTTCCTTTTGAAGGAGAAGTTGGTCTCTGTGGGAAGGATGTTTCTCTGCCTGTTTGTGTAATTATTTTGCTGGTTATGACTTTTGGTTGTGACGTTGGTGGTGGCGAAACTATTGCTGAAGGACCTCGATCTACTTCTTTACCCTTGGATGATTTTTGAGGTTGAGGTTCTGGTGCTGGTGGTGGTGGTAATGGTTGTGATGGTGGTTTCGATTGCGGTGGTATGGACTTTCGTAATGGTGGCGGTGGTGGTAATGGTTGTGAAGGTGGTTTTGATTGTGGTGGAGTTGACTCCGGCAGTGGCAAAGCAGTCGTATTTCGTGGAGGAAATTCATTTGGTTGAGTTCCATTTGGAAATTTAATTTTTGCTATGAAAATTTGTTCTCAGATAAATAAATAAAAATTTTAATATTCAAGAACAATTTTCTATTGAATTATAACTTACAAGTATCTAAAATATGTATTATCCCATCTTCGTCTATTTTTGGTGGTTGAGAACAATCACCACCAAAGACACATATTTTATCATGAGACGCCGTCATATTAAGACTATACCGAGGACTTGGTGATGGACCAAGATTTGGGAACTTGTACCATCTTAAATCTGCATAAAATTAAAATTATATAAACCGAGAAACAAATTCAGAGTAAACGAAAAGAACAATACTTTTATTGCGCTTACTTGATATTCGAAAAGCGCACAAATCTCCTAATTCCTTAATTACATTTCCTTCTTTTGTCCTTCCGCCAAAAGAATATATAACATCATTTATAATTGTTGCGCTGTGTAACTCTCGTGGAGCTGGTATATAACCTGTACAAGATAACTCAATCCATGTATTTTCTTTTATATCATAACACCATGTATCATTGTAATATTTTTCTCCATCACTCCCACCAAATCTAGGAGGGTAAATGTGTTTAAAAATTAAATTAAAATAACTTTTGAAGTTTTTTTAGAAGAACTTACATATATATTTTATCATCACAATTACAAGAAATATGTCCACTCCTTGCAGGTGGTGGAGAATTTGCTGGAACAATAAAATTCCATTCAGATGAATTATTATTTCCTAAAAAAAAATTTGGTTTTTTTATATTATTATTATTTTTTTAGATCTTTTAAAAAAATGTTTAAATTTCAAAAAAGTATATTTTAAATGATAAAAATATATTCACCTTTACCTAAAGTAAATTTCAATTTACTTTTTTTCTTAATTGATTTGAAACTCTTAAAATCAAAAGAAATTAAATCATTTAAATATTTTTCATCATTTCGACCACCAAAAATATATATTTTTGTCCCAATTGCTGTAGACGTATGACCATATCTTCCGGCAGGAAGATTTCCTGTAATTGTTGGTTTACTCCAAATATACTTTGAACCTAAAAATGAAATCCAGATTCAAAACAATGATCGTATTTCTGAAAATGACAAATTTAATGATTTACCTATGTCGAGCATATAAATGTTTCCATCTAGTTTATCTTCGGGATTGTCAAATTTACCGCCGAAAACTATGGAATTAAATAGGTAATTTTTAATTTCGGATTTTTTTCTCTAAAATCAAAAAAAAATATTAACTGTTGGGTTTCGAAATTATACCAAAAAGACTCGTTCCGGTGTTGATATGTGTATGAAGACTTCTCGCCTTCGGCACATCACCCGATGTGGCTATTGGAATAACATTAAGTGAATCTGCAATAATTCTCTGTGTTAATCGTCTATCCGTAATTAATTTGATCATATGAAAAATTACAAATTACTTACCGAATTCAATAACAAAGACTTCGTTGGTAGCTTTATTTTGCGAAATACCACCAAAAAGAAACAATTCATCATTGATAATATGATCACTCGCAGAAAAACTATGACGAGGAAAAGGATTAAATGCATTCAATTTGTTTTGAGACCACGGATAACGAGAAACTTTATTGTTTTTTGATTTCATCTTTATTATTTAATTAATTCTGATTTTAATTTTTGACAGAAGAAATTGAAATATGTTCAAAAAAAGAAATAAAATAAAAGTTTGAAAAGGTTGAAAACAGAAATATTTATAAAAATTTAAAAATATATATGTGTGTGCGATGTGTGAGAAAAATATTAAAGATACCAGCGAGCCAGCGTGGTTTGATTTTTTTAAGAAAATATTAAGAGTTCATTATTTATAAAGTTAGAAAAAAAGTAACTTGGTTTTAAATGCATTGATACACAAAGACGTAACTATAACACATTCTCTCTCTCTGAGTCTGCAGATCTCAAATTCTACCAATTAAATATTCGCTACATAAAGCCACATTTTGTTACCTTTTGTTTTTAAAAAATTTCTATTTTAAAAGTTGTTAAAACCTGATAAATTCTCATGATATTTTTATAATTTCAAATATCTCATTATGAATCAAACTAAATTAGTACTAAAACATCAAAAATTACTTTTATATACTTTATGTTTAATTATAATAATTTAAGTATTTTTTTTTAAATAAAGTTTAATTTATATAGATTTTAAAATTTTAACTATTAATAAATATTAATAAATATTAAAATATAATAATAAATTTAAAAGATTAATAAATTTATTTATTATATCTACTATAAAAATATTATTTATCACTTTATATTTAATTATCTGATAATATATAATTTTAAAAATGATAACATTAAAATTAATAAAATCATTAAAATATAAAATTGCTTTATCTTATTAATCTATTATTATTATCAGTGTGTAAAATTCATGTGTATAATATGTACATATGCACATTAAATTTTTGTGTACACATATTACACAACATAAAATATGCACAAATAATTATTAATAATAGATAAATTATATATAAAATGGATAAATTATTTATAAAAATGGAAATACTATATAATACATGTATTGATTTTCTATTTTTAGTATAACTTATACATATGACTTTTGGTCTAAATTTTATACACTGATTATTATCATTAAGTATTTATATAAACAATTTTCTTATTAAATACATTACTATTGTCATTAATTATTTTATATTAACATTTTTTTATTAAAATATTTAAAAGCATAATATTTTATTTTATAATACAAATTATATATACTATATATTCACTAACTTCATTATCTTTTTTTTCTACAATTAATATTAATCAAATACTTTTTATTATACTTTTTATTTTATTAAATATTTTATTAAAAGATTTTAATCATTTAATAAGAGATTTATTTTTGTTTAACATACTATTTAGTTTTAATATCATTAATATTTTAAATATTTTATGAATTTAATAGCTTAATAAAAGCTTGTATTTTCTTAATATATTTTTACTACTTGCTATTAAGAGAATTTATTTTACAAATTTATTTAAGAATTTATATTATTTGTATATTATTTTTATTCTTTATTCAATTTATTATTTATTAATCATTTCATATTTTTTTTATAGTTTATTAATTTTCTTATTATTTGAAATGAAGCATAAGAAATTATATTTTTAGAAATTAAGGTAAAAAAGTATTATTACATATGTTTTTAGATATTACTAATGATTCTAAATAAAACTGAAATATTTAATCATTTAACAAAACTGAAATTATTTAATCTTTAATAATTAAAAACTGAAATGTCAAAATTTTATTTTCATAGTTTTTTCATGGTTTTTTTATGGATTTTAACTCACAATTTTTAATAATATTTTATTTTACTATAAATTCTAGAAATTTAAAATTTTTGTAAATAAAATACTATTTATTATATTTTATTTACTATATAAAAAGTTTATTAGAAAAATTAGACTCTAAGAAATTTTTTGATTTTATTGTATTTTAGTTTTTAATGTTATTAGATTAAATGTAATAAAGTCTTAATTTTAGTTAAAAAATTCTTAGAATTTAATTTTTCTAGCAAACTTTTCATATAAATAATTATTATTTATGATGTTAATTAGCAATATTTTTTAATTATATATTTAAAATATATTTTAGATTCAGAATATTATTCTAGATTACAACTATACTTATTATATAATAAGTACTTTAAAAATATTTATTTATATATAAAATTTAAGATAATAACTTAAATTTAGAGTCTAATTTAAATTTGCTTTATATTTAATTAATATAATAATAAAAGATTTAAATTAAAATTAATAAATATTAAATAATAATAAATAATAATATATTCTTTAATAAAGATAAATAAATAAAAATTTATAATTTATATATTATAAAACAATTTAAGTTTAGTTCATTTAATTATTTGCTAAAAGTTTAAATTTAGACTTTAACTAAAGATTTAGTAAAACACAAAATTTAACAAAATTTAATCATGATAAAAATAATTTAGACAGATATTACTACTTATAAATATATATATTTTATAGTTATATATATATATAGATAAAAAGTAATCCGCAAATAATAATCACGTAAATATCTAAATAATATAAATATTTAAATCACATTTAAATATTGCAAATTTGTGAAATTTATCTGCAGATTATTCGTAAATATTAATAGATATTTGCAAATTAATATTAATCTGTAAATTAAAATTTGCAGATATCTGCAATAATTAATTACAATTTGTATTTGAACTTTAATATTCAATAAAGCATAATACAAATAATTACAATAAGAACTAATATATTTAAAGATTATATAAAAATTTAAAGGTTTATTATAAAGAAAATTGTAAAAAAATTTATTTATAATTGACTAAAATGTTGCATATAACATAATTTTTTGAAAATTCTAATATAAACAACCTGATCCTTATATAGCTATATACAATTAATTCAAAACATTATAATGACTTTTCAAATTATAATATTGTTTTAACTTATTTCAAAAAACTTTACTAAAGAAAAATATAATAATTGTTAAATATATCAATCTTCGTCAAAAAATTTTAATATGTAAATTTGATTATAATAAATAATAATGTTGTAATGAAATTATAATAAAATAAATAATAATGGAAAATAGATTTAAAATAAATTGATAAATATATAAAATATAAAATATGCATATAATTCTTTAAAAAAGATCAGATAATATTAGGTCTACAGTCAACTCTTGTTATAACGAACTCTATGTCTTAGACCTCAACTTCGCTATAAAGCTATAGTGAAGATTTTAAGAGATTTAATTGGGCAATTCGCTATAACAAGAGTATTTTTATTATATTTATTCAAAAATTCGGTATATCAAGAGTTTGCTATAGCAAGAGTTGACTGTATTCATGAATATTTAGATATTCATGAATTTGCTATTATTATTCACAAATATTTAGATCATAATTTACAAATTATTTATTTAGTTTTCAGCAGATATATAATTATCATCTAAATTAAGATTATTAAATAAAACTTAAAGGTTTTGTAAGTTATTTAAATGGAAAAAGGTAAAATTTAACGAAATTATATTAAAATCTTATTAAAAAATCTGCAAAAATCTAAAAAGATAAAACTATATCAAAGTTTATAAAAATGTGAAACTATATTAAAATCTTAATAAAAATTTAGCGAAACTATAGTTTAGACATTTTGTCAAATCTAAAATAAGTTTAGACAAGCAATTTTAATCTAAATCATTTTTTTAACTGATGAATGAATAATTTTATCCATAAATAATTTAGATTATTTTAC